CATACATACATACATACTACGTACATACATACATACATACACCTACATACATACATACATACATCGTACATACATACATACATACATACATACATACATACATACATACATACATACCATACATACATACATACATACATACATACATACATACATACATACATACATACATACATACATACACTACATACATACATACATACATACATACATACATATACATACATACATACATACATACATACATACATACATACATACATACATACATACATACATATACATACATACACATACATACATACATACATACATACATACATACATACATACATACATACATACATACATACATACATACATACATACATACATACATACATACATACATACATCAAGCCTGTGTGTGTTTGTGCAACCTTCATGCAATAAACTGATGCAGAGAAGCACCGCTTGACGTTAATGAGGATGATGCTGATGATAATGATGAAGGTGGTGGTGACGACGACGATGACGATAACAGAGCCTAGCGTATAATACTAGAACATATAGTTTGAGAATGGAGGTGGGGGCGGTAACAGTAGTCTTCCGCTGGCATGAGAACCAGGTGTACACACACGTCGTCATTGTAACCGACTCACAGAGCATGTTAAGAAAGACAAAAACAGGCATGATTTGTGCTGAATGGAAAACATCGCTTCAGAAGTCCCAGGTAAACGTTCATTTGATATTTTCTCAAGAACTCAGAGGAAAGTCAAGACGAACATATAACCAGATTGTGACCGGTACCATCAGTATTGGAACTCGGCGCTGGCTGCTGAGGATGAGGACGGAGTAAACATGGGAATGCCCTGAGTGCTGTGATGTCAATTCTTGACTCAACTCGCCCGATATTTTCTCAGGAGTGTTAGGAAATGAACAGGCAGACAGACTAGCTGGTTATAGACCAATAAGTGATGACTTTATGCAAGGCAATCTAGATTCGATCAAGACTTTCGAGAGAAAGTGAACAATGCATTGGCACGAATCGATCATTAGGGTCTATAGAGAATGTTTCAGCTGGGAGTGACTAACAGATCTGGTCAAAACTGTACACTCAGAGGAAAAGACTTATAATCAAACTGCTACCGGAGGTATCGGCATTAGAACTCTTCACTGGCTACTGAATATGAGGACGGAGCGTTTGTGGGAATGTCCCGAGTGCTGTGATGTCAGTTCTCAGCTCAACACTCAACGATCACTGACGCTGATGATGACAAAGATCAGAATGATAGTGACGACAACAGCAACGAAACAACCCACACAGATACCAACGCCAGCTTACCTGGTGACGTGGCAGCAAATGAAGCAAGGAATTATCGCTGAAGCCAAGCCATCAAAAATAAGAGAGTCGAAAAAAGCAGCTAACGATAGTTTTCCTCCGCTCTGAAAACGTCACAGAAGTGTGGTCAGTTAGTTGCGTATGCCTTACAGGTTTTGAGGTTTGAGGTTTTGAACAATGGATCACCATCATGGCACACGGGTAGTAACCCATAAGTGCTCCGTTCTTCTTCTAACTCAAGTCTGAGTCTGAAGAAGCACCGCACAGTGCACGAACTATGTAGCACCGGTGAGGATCCTGAAATACTTTGGGTAGATTTGTAACTCAAAATTTTTCCTGGGTAGCGCCGTTAGGCTACTCTTTACGATTTTTACAACTGTCAAGGGATTTTTTCACGTCCGCAACAATGCACACGGGCGTCTGATCTCACTACCCAGAGACCAGGAAAAATTACTAAAAGTCCAAGTCCACGTGAAAAAAATCCCAGCCCTTACCGGGGATTGAACCCGGAACCTCTAGAACTCAAGGTGACACCATTCCTGAAGACCACGCAGAACTTTGCAGAACCAGCTCTAGCATGTTTTGTTTCTGGCTGGTGTGGTTTTTTTAGGCACATTTTACTTTCAGTAGTTTGCCATTGCCATTGCTAATCTGTCAGCTCTTAGGACCACCGTCGAAACCAATGCAAGACAACCCGTTTGCAGCTAGGATCGAACCCGGCACCCCAGCATTACAAAGCGCGCTTGCAACGTCAAAGCCACGGAAGCCGACGTCGGCGAGAGGTATGATACATGAGATTACAGTGAGGGTGGCAGAAGGGGCTAGAGGTCAAAAAGAGAATGGAGAATTACACAAAAATTATGTTTGTAGCATGGAAACATTACTGAAATCTGGAGAAATACTAAATGTACTAAACAGGCTGTGACTAGAAATCTCAAAGGGCACGACGAAAGAGTTGTTAGTCAAGGTTTGTGTTGTATTTAGTGTTCGGTTGACAGAGACTTTAATTTAAACGTTCAGTTGAACTTTTTTGTCGTTCCTCCGTTAAGCTTTCTTGTCATAGTTTGTTTTGTTTGTTACTTCTTCATTTCAGCTCTGCAAAGGCAGCATTTTTTGTAAATGAAGAATTCTTTGCATTTCTTTCGACTGAGCCGATAAAGGGTATTCTCAAAATAAATATATAAATCATATTCTGGTGTATGGAAGTATATCAGGGACAGTTAGACTATAAGCAAAAAATTATTTGGAAGAGGCGGAGATGTAAACGAATAATAAGAATACCGACTGAGCTACCGTTTAACAGTAGCCGGTACCACCTGTCTTCTCTTACGCCGAATGTTGGGCGGCGTATACCAAACCTAACATCCAATATTGTGCCAACAGCTTCGGGTGCAGGAGCGCATTGGAGAGGATACTAGCCTTATCCTAGGAAGAGGAAATGCAACCTGAAAACTTTGTGTTATGACAGGGCAGACCAGGCCCTTTGTCTTGGCTGGCAGCTGGTCTAGGAGGGAAGCTCTGACAGGTAGACAGATAGAGCACTGCTCTTCTGATCCGGCAGCTTCTGCAACCTGCCTCGTTCTAAACGTACTGGTTTTACTTTTCCTTTGGAGTAAACAAGGCAGGTCGAGGGAGTGATCATTATGCATGGACAACATATGGTTTCTACAATACTGCCCCGACCTTGTGCTATGGGGGGGAGGAACTTCATCCCTGGCCTTAACCGGTCTCGGAAACAAATGGACCATTTTGTGTGGAAAGGGCATATCAGGAGGGGAATGAGAGTGAAGGAAGAAATGATTGCAGAAAGAATGAGAGCTGAGCGTCTGAAATTAAACACAAATGTTGACAACAATGGTCCTGAAATCCCATGCTATCATTGTGGAAGACTTTTCTTGACACGAGCGGGTCTTGCAAGTCACACTCGCCATCGCCATGGGCTTTGTCCCGTGCCTTCTCCTAGCGCAATATAACACTATCGTCTGGATAGACGGAAATGTGCCAATCAATGGATAAGAATACCCTGGTCGTGAACATATAAAAAGGGTAATGAAGATATTTTGACAAAAAGTGACTAACAAAGAGAACTGCTTAACAACATTAGGAGGAAACATAATCTGCATGCTTTCTCGTGAGAAAATGCTCAACAGTGTGAAATCATGTCATGGAAGATTCTGAGTCAGAAATGATTGAAAGTACACGAGACCGAAGGATGGGGACATGAATACCAACGCCACACAGCATAGACTTAAAGAAGAATATAGCAACTCGACTGTAGTAAAATAATATGGGACGCCATTTTTGTGATTTTGAAGCCCCCACCCCGGGGGATGTCGGGGGCCGTAACGGTTAACAGGGGTTTTTCGGTCTTGTCCCCTGTGGAATTTTCATTTGAATGGTGGCACCTTGCGTCACAAGATGTTTATCCTTCCTTGTGCGGTCCTGGTAGAGGCATATGGATAAACAGAAAGAGAGAGAGAGAGCGAGAGAGAGAGAGAGAGAGAGAGAGAGAGAGAGAGAGAGAGATGGACAGTCAGGGAGGTAGACAGACAGACAGACAGACAGACAGACAGACAGACAGACAGACAGACAGACAGACAGACAGACAGACAGACAGACAGACAGACAGACAGACAGACAGACAGACAGACAGACAGACAGACAGACAGACAGACAGACAGACAGACAGACAGACAGACAGACAGACAGACAGACAGACGCGGTCGTGGTGATGGCATATGGACTGACAGAAAAGACAGAGAGAGACAGTCAGTCAGATAACCAGACAGACGACAGACAGACATACAGACAGACGAACAAACACATAGGCATACTGATAGAAAGACAGGCAGACACATGCTACACATAATATGTAGGGCAGTGGGTGGGGTGAGAGGGTGAGAGGGTGGGAGGAATTTGAGCCTGAAAATTTGAGGCCGCGTTGCTAGAAGAGTAACCATAAACTCTTCAGGTTAGAATGCCTATTTCTCGCCACAAACAGAAAAGATCTCTATACTTTATCTAGGATCAAACCCAGGTCTTCCGAATGAGAGCAGTCAATACCACCGCAATGTGAAGCTTTTGGGAAGGAGGTCGGAGCACCTATGCATCTGTCCGGAATCACTCATCACCAGTCACAAGAAAACAATGGACAACGGACAACAAACACAACAAGACCAACCTACAGCGCACAAAGCCTGGTATGTGGCGTGGCAGAGCATGTAGACACTGGACACATCGCCGAGGAGGTCGTGCACATCGTCAGAATAATGATCCCTGATCACCTCGGCTATAGCAGACCCATGACCTGAAATAACAAGTTTCATCTGTGTATTCTTCCTCTTCTTACGCACGTCTTCTTTCCCCGCTGTGTATGTCGGGGAAGATGTATGATCTGGAGGGCTGAGTGGTCTCAAGGTATGGTGTCCGCCTCGAGTGCTGGAGGTTCCGGGTTCAGGCCCGGTGACGGCTTGGATTTTTCACGTAGACTTCTAGTAATTTCCCTGGTCTCTGGGTAGTGAGATTGGACGCCATTGTGCATTGTTGCGCACGTAAAAAAAAATCCCTTGGCAGTTGGAAATCGAAAGAAACCCAGGCAAAATTTGGAGTTAAATATCTACCCAAAGTATTTCAATAATATCATCGCCGGTGCAACGGAGTTCGTACGCCGCGCTGAGATTCTTCGGACTCAGGCTTGAATTAGAAAGAACAGGTCATAGAGTTAAATATCTACCCAAAGTATTTCAGGATCATCGCCGGTGCAACGGAGTTCGTGCACTGCGCTGAGATTCTTCGGACTCAGGATTGAGTTAAGTAGAACGGGACACGTATGGGTTACACCCTGTGTCATGATGTTGATCAGTCAAATAAAAATAAAAAGATATGTGCTTCTATATCTTGCATTTCCCTCTGCCTCGACCGTAGAGACATCTTGCTTTTGTAGAGTTTATCTGTTGTTATTCTTCCATCTTGTTTTTGGTCTGCTTTGAGCTCTAAATCCTTTTCCTCTTTTGATGTGTGAGTTGTATGTTATAGCGTCACAAGGTAATATCTCTAAAGGGGAAAACCATTTGATGTGATGAATGTGTGTGTAAGTTGTACCCCACCAGGACATCGCACAAGCGATAAGCACCCGGTGACACAAAGTGCCACCGTGAGTTTCACGTGTGGAGAGGTCCCGGAAACTCTGTTCAGCCGTTAGGCCATATTTCAGGCCCGGCTATGTTTATGGTCAGGATGGGGCTTCAAAGTAGCTAAAAATTGACTCCCACGGAAGGATGGGGAGACATGTTTTTGATTTGCTGTCTTTTTAACTACTTAAGAACTAGTGCTGTGCCGAAATGTTCTTTTATTAACTCCTTTCTGATTTTATCTCTTCTGATTACTCCTGCAGCCCTTCTCATACATCTCATATCCATGGTTACTAATTTTCTTTTATGAGAATGGGTGTGTTGGATAATGTTAAAACGAAGGGGGCTGGGTGGTCTCGAGGCATGGCGTCCGCCTCGAGTGCTGGAGGTCTCCGGTTCAGGTCCTGGTAAAGGCTCAGATTTTTCACTTGGAATTCTAGTAATTTCCCCTGGTCTCTGGGTAATAAGATCGAACTCCCATGTGCATTGTTGGGCACGCAAAAAATTCATTGACCGTTGGAAATCGAAAAGAGTAGTCTAACGGCGTTGTCCGGGCAAAGTTTAGAGTTGAAAATCTACCCAAAAGTAGTTCAGGTTCCTTGCCAGTGCTACGGAGTTCGTGAGCTGTGCTGCGAACCTTCGGACTAAGGCTTGAATTAGAAGTAGAACCGAACACATGTGGGTAACTACCCTTGTGCCACGATGATGATCCGTTGTTCAAACCAAACCAAACCAATGTTAAAACGGCTTAAACATTAAAAGTCACTAGTTGATTACTAGCCTGGAAATCAAGGTCAAAATTAAGAAGCTTTGCATCAACCTACTAAAAACATACAGATGTGCGTTGTGAACTATTTCGCAGACCATTGTTAAGAGAATATGGGCTTTTCAACTGAAACGCTATAGAATGATTATTTAAATACCATAGGCCAAGGAGAGAAAAAAGCTACTGACATACTAAAAGATCGGAAAATTAAGAAAGATTTGCTTGTAAACAGCATCTTGTCTCGGAATCTGAAAAAATTTAGCCATATGAACTATTTGTAGGCGATGGGTGCTATTCCCGGTATGGTAACTACGGCTTTCAATTTTTGTGTTGTCGGGTGTATCCTTATGTCTTTCTACTTCATTCTATGAGTGCCGATTGATACCTTGTCTGTCTGTTTATTACATATATTGTATTTCTGCGGCCAAGGGGGTCCCCCTCTATTTATGTGTAAGTTAGGGGTAGGATAAAAAGTGGCCACACATATGGTAACGTTTTCAGACTCCATGAACATGCTTCAGAAAATCGCAACACGTAGTCTGGTCTCCGAATGGGTAGAAAGTATTCAGAAGTCGCAGTTAACCTCCATCATCTGGATCTACACACCGAGTTATGCTAGAGTAGAAGATTTTGAAAAAGCTGACTTGATGGCAAATAACGAATCAGTGCAAACAGGAGGAAGTATGGATAGAGCTGATATTGTCAATGGTGTACGGACTAAGCTGGAGGTTGCAGGTAAACCTCTGACGCTAATACGATTGCCTGATCTAGGAATAAAGTTTGGTGAAGCACGCCTACGCCACCTTTAAGGTCACGTCATGAAGCATTGTAACCAACTTCTCATGGTAACAATTAGTAGAGGTACCTAAGACTGGCTGCTACATTGGAGGACTTAGCACGCATGGTAATGATCAAAATGCACTTACGTCAATTATGATAACATAACATTGCATTGAGACATTTAACCCCTAACAACTGCAAACAATTTTCACGTCAAAACACAAACTACCAAGCAACACAAATTGTGAATTAAAAATCGACTTCATAGCGACTCGGGACACTCCTATAAACGCTTCGTCCCCATCATCAGCAGTAAGCTCAGAGTTGCAATTCTGGTGGTACAAGTCTAATTGTATATACGTCTAGGAGTGTTGAGGGGCGTCGGCCAGATCCCCCAGTAACTCCCGGCAGCGCCAATCTTCCTTAGACCGTAGTGATCCATTTGTGCCTCCGCACTGTTCACTCGTTCCTCCCAAAGGGCCATCACAACATCTAGCTTGTCATGCATCAGTTCATCACCAAGTGGTGCAGAACCGGCCAGTCTGTCTACCTGCTCGTTTCCCAACACACCAGCATTCAAACCACACAGAACACATGTAAAACAGTCCCCCATCAACCTCATACCTAAGCTCCGGAAAGGAAGAAACCGAAATGGATCGACGCTCTTCGGTAAAGGGACAGTGTTGACTTTCTGAGGCGCCAGGCGAGAGACAGCCCAGTACACGGTATCCAGGATGTCCACAACACCCATCTGTCTCCAGGCCACCGCACCAGCACATGTCAGGGCGTGCACCTGGTCAGTACAGACATAAATCGCTGGGGAATCTTGGAAGTCATAGAAACAGTATATCAGCACTTAGTTCGACGTTAGTCTCCCCAAACAAAGCAGGTCTGTTTTCATTGACAGTTTGTTGGGATGGTGGACTTTCCTGGAGGTTACGGGTGTGTCCCACTCTCTTGATGTCTTAATAGTATTGATGTCTTTCAATAACGTTTTTATGCCGAGAAAGAGAATGCCTGTGACATAGGTTTTTGCACTCTCTATGGGGGGGGGGGGGGGGGGTTTAGTTAGACCCAGTGTGTCCATGTTTTTAGAGTGTTAAAAAGGCTGCTGAAATATAGAACACGCGATATCAACGGTATTGCGGAAAACCCCCCTCATCTTCTGGCAAGGCAACGTGGCTCAAGGTCGACCAATCAGAAGTAAGCTAGGCTAAAGGTCGACCAATCAGAACTTAGTTACGCTAAAGGTCAACCAATCAGAAGGGAGCTAGTGTGTAAGAGAGTGTAAATGGCGAGACTAACGTTGAACTAACCTGATAAGGAAATGAACACATGTTTGTTGTACTGGCGCCGGCACCAGATAATACTTTTTATGATCCTGTTCACGTTTACAGGCCCATCTACACACTATCTGACCTTTCATTCATACTTTCTCAGACTCTTCTGCGTCGGAGGAGTGTCACGTTGTCTTTCCTCCTCGCTGATGTCGCATGTTCTATACCACACGACGACACAGTTTTCAACGACCCCAGAACATGTAGAACTGGACATAACCCAAACCCCCTACTCACAACCTCCACCTGGGTCCCACGGCAGACTCTTTTCGAAGACAGCACTACACCGTGACACCCCTCTGACTTAGACCAGACTAAGAAAGTGTGTAGATGGGCCTAAAAACGTGAACAGGTCCCTTTTGATAAATATCCCAAAGATGCACTGGGCGCGAGATTTCCCCACGGTATGTTGTAGAGGTTTCACCTTTTTTTCCAAAGGTATAAGCATTCTATATTCCGCGTTGTGAGCGGCCAGCACGTTCTATGTTCACATAGTCAGCGGCAAGCACTGTGTGTGTGTTACTCCCGTCGTACTTAAAAACACTTAGCAATTCAGTCTGTAGGATTAACATCCGTAGATGCGAATCCAGCAGGTACATCTTCCAGAAACTCCCATCAACCGTATAGCCACAATAGTTTATATATATATATATATATAGTTAATTGTATCTCCTTTACAGGACGTTGCAGAACCAACCCCAGCATTTTTTTGGCTGTTGTGGTTTTGCTAGGCAAATAATCTACGACCTTTAGCTTGCCATTGGATCGACGGTCGGCTCTCAGTTCCACTGTCGAAACCAACGCAAAACAAACCGTCCGCAGCTGGGATCGAACCCGGCACCCCGGCATTACAAAGCGCGTTCGCAACGCCTAAGTCACAGGCGCCGACGTATAGCCATAAAGCTCCCTTATATTCATCATCATCATCAACATACCGTGCCAATAATTGAAGCATGTCATGTTTCGCCATCTCACACAATCATCAGAATCAGGGATCAGTTCGATGTTCTTTGTCTCGTCCCATCCATGTAGCCACACCATCCAGGCATGTATCTCTTTGTCATCCTCTTGCTCTTTTTCCGACAACTGTGCCAGTTGTTACCAAGTTTTTTTTTAGATCATTCCTTCTCAAAATATGTCTCCCAAACATGTTGACTCTATACTTCTAATTGTTCTAATAGGTTTACTACTTTCATTTGTCTCGATGAGGACTGATTTGTTTGTTTTTATATCCTTCCGTGATATTTTATATCCTCCCATAATATTTTATATTCTTCCATAATATCTGGTCGATACTCGACGATCAGAGGAAAAGCAATAAGGATATATATTCAAACTGCTACAGTCCCAATTGGTACTGGAACTCTGCGTTGGCTGCTGCAGATGGGGTCAGAGTGCTTATGTGAATGCCAAGAGAGCTTTTATGTCGGTTCTTGAATCAACTCAACCCAACTTAACACTCTTCAGTTTTTAATTTATTAGTAGACACTAGAAAACGGTTACAAAGTTGATGGCAGCATGAATATTGAATTAAATTAGCACACAAACTCAACTGATAGTTGAAGATCGCAGGATGCAAAGAGGCAGTGTTGTCAAAGTCAGTTCGAAAATCACTTGATGATGACTATTATAAAATTATAAAGCAGTTGGTCAGAAAGGGACCACAATAGATTTTTTTTTAAACGTAAAGGATAAAGCAGAGACAAAATTATACATACGACGCCCTTATATTTTCTTCTGTCATTTTTTACGTGGTGGCTTGTGGTCTTAAAACACGCATTGGGTGTGCACATGTGTGCGGACAACCCCGTTTTTTGTTGTGTTGATGTATACACTAATCAGTGCGCAATAATGCAGTTCAATAGAAATCTCAGTCCGCTTCATATGGTTGAATCATCATCATCAGGTGCCTTGCCGACTGGCGTGGGCGATCATGCCTCTCCACAATTTGCGATCTCCTGCAGCATGTATCAGTTCGTATGCCGACACATCTCCATGCCATGCAACAAGACTGTCAAGAATCTTCTCTCGTTGTCTTCCTCTATCCCTCCTTCCACAGATCTGTCCAGTGGTCACAACATGTTCTATTTTCCCTCCTCTGATAACATGGCCGAAAAATGATGACTGTCTCCTTCTGATGTCTGTGATAAGTTGTCTTCGAGCTTCGGCCTCTTTCAAAACCTCTTGGTTGCTATTTTTGGCTGTCCAAGGTATTGTAAGCATTCTTCTGTAAAACCACATCTCTGAGGCCTCAAGAAATAATATAGATTCTGTAGTTATTCCATCTAAACCAGGTGCTTTGTTTTTATGGCTCTTCTGTATAACAGCTAGTTAGTTAGTTAGTTAGTTAGTTAGTTAGTTAGTTAGTTAGTTAGTTAGTTAGTTGGGTTATCGTCATTGCACTCCGGACATGTCCATAGGTGCTCAGATCCTCCCCTCAGTATGAACCCCAACGTCCGATGGCTAATAGTACCAGTTCTATGTTGATTAACAAGTCTTCTGACGTGTCCGGTGTGCGTCTCGTTTTTTGCTGTGCCGATCTTAATTCCCAAGTCTGCCATTCTGGCGAGTGATGTGGATTCACTGCCACCAAAGTCCTCTATCCTTCCCATTTCTCTGAGGGCATTATAACAGCTGTATAACAGCTTTTACCAGGAATGAAATTCAGTGAACACCTACAAAACAGCTTGATGATTAAGACTTCGCTAATGATGTTTCTCTTCTGTACTACTCATGCAATCAAATGCAAGAAAAAAATAAATATACTTGAAGTGAGATCATAAAAATTAGGTCTTAAAATCCACAAGGAAAATACAAAGATAATGAGAATAATCCATGCAAATCAGCCTTTTTCTCCTAATTGTATCCCATTCTAAGATGAAGAGCCGTACACCTTGTCGGGCAGTAAGGTAGATAAAGATACGGGAAATAATAGAGATAATAAAATATAAATACAAATGGCAAAAGGATCTTTCATAGGACTAGGAAATTTGTCGAGGTGAAAAGAAATTAAAACTAATACTAAACTTAACATTTTTAATTCTAATGTCAAATCAGTGCTGTCGCAGGGAGGTTCTTCTCTGCAGGGGCCCTGGAATATTTTGCAAAAACCCTGACAATGGATGTGTGAAATAGCTGTGTTTCACAAAAACCCAACAACATGACTAAGGCAATACCTAGACAAACCACGTGGCTATCGAACTACCACATTCTCTTTTGAATGAAGCAAATGAATATAAGCATCACATTGAACATCTGTTTATTTTACTGAATCCAAAGCTAAGTGTTGTTTACAAATAACAAAACATTACCAACCATCAACGTGCCAAGCACTTTAATAATATAATTAAATATCTCCGAGCGATGATGCACACTGATATATCTCTACACAGTTCAACTACCAGAGACAAATTCAGATTTAACTATGTAACCATACTACTACCATGAAGTCAGCGACCTCTCTGTCAACGTGATCTTACACATCTGCACTGCGCTGAGGCCACGTGCAGTCAACCAACGACAGTCATGGCGTTTTACCAAAGTGAGCCGACCGTTAGAGTCAAGGTGAGAGCGTCTTTCTGGTGCCTCGATCTTTTATTACCTTATGGCTGGCCATGTTTCTTCGCACGTGCAATCAAACTAATATCCATAACTGTTGCCGTCCGGCTACATTTTATAAATGTTTACAGACAAACAATTCTCATGAGCGTTTTCATTTCTAGATTAACATAAACAGAAAAAGAGGTAACAACAGTAACTCTTACTTTAATATTTTTTTAAAACCAGCATTGTGTTATTACAACACAGCTAGTTATATAACGTTACACCATTGCTTAATTAAACTTTAAATTGCATGTTCGCCTGTAAAAATATCGCTAACAATTTTCATTTTTTTCTTCTTTTTTTAGCGTTTCCTGGCTGTCCACTTCTGGAGTTTAGTCTTGTTTAGAAACTTGAGTTTTGCTCCACATTCGTTTTACAGACCTGGCTTATCAGTGTACTTCTGATGATTCCTGACAGGCAAATACACTCCAACTGCAAAGAAAGTCCGAATTGGTGGTCTTCTACGACATGTTTATAAGGGGACAGTGGGTCTTTTTTGTTTCATCATCATCATCATCATCATCATCATCATAAACCACTTCTGCCGTTAAGCGCCGTGGGGAGGAATAATTTTCGGTCCAGTACACGTTGGCTGCCACTGTTTAAACCCTCAAAAAAAAAAAAAAGGGCCTTAGAACTTGCACGGTAATTATCGTTATTGAAAGCGGAAGCGCATCACAAGCGGAAGCAGGGTTGCCATATTGGCATTTATGATGCCAGATTCCACAAATTTGGCATATTTGAAATTGAAATGGCATAAGATAATGAACTGGCATATTTTGGCATATTTGGGTTTTTCCTGGCTTTTCCTATCAAAATATGCTAACATTTTCTTCATGTTCCTCCGTTAGAAACACGCAGATTTACTAAAAGCAATGTAGACCTACAGTTAACATCTTAATTTCAGTTTGACTTTGCTGTGATATCCTGGTACGGACTAAGGGAGATTCGCGCCATTTCTTATTGTATTGGTTGTCTTCCTAAACGAATCATGACTTCGATAAACCAAGGCCCTCTGTAATTTATGTTAATCAATTATATTCTTCTTCTTCTTATGCGTTCGACAACAGTCATGCTAAACATTGAGTCCTGTCTGGGTCACAAATAGGATTGTGCGTTTAAGGTCGCCACCGGTCCCCCCAAAGCTTCTCTTTCAATGTGGCTCCCTTGGGCCAGATTCATAGTCTTTGCTGGGAGAGGTAAGGCCAGTACTGTAGTATGTGCCCAGGGGTCTGTCTTTCTGCTCCACAATCACAGGCAGCAGATTCTTTTATGCCTATCCTGTACAGGTGTGCTCGAAGACCACAGTGTCCAGCCCGAAGTCTAAAAATTTTTGTTTGTTCTTTCTTGTTGGGTGATCTATTATAACAAATGTTGGATATAAAACTAAAACCCACCACTGATACCAAGTGATTCAGACTGTTCAGAAACTACTTGAGGACAGAACATAAAGAGGATATGGACCTAGTTCTGTCTGTGATAGATTATATTACTTTTACCAATGGCCACGTCATCCAAAAAAATGGAAAGCATCGAATGGCATCGCAAGTGTAATAGAAACTGGAAGAAAACATACCCACGGCTCAAAAGATCTTTAGACGGATCAGAGGCAGCAAATTGCAAACTGTGTCAGCGCACTGTTGCACCAAGAATGAGTAGTATATCAAACCATGAAAAATACGAAAAACACAGGATGACAACTCCGTCTAAAAGCCAGTCACAGCTTGTTACGGCAATGACTCCTAGGCAAAGTAATGATAAAGTTAAAGGCAACAGAGTTGCAACTTGCTGTAAGCATGACCTGCCATTGTGCAATAGGCACGATTGATCATCTAAGTTAAATCATGAGATCACATGGTCGGGGGAGCACGTTAGAGCACATACAGTTGCACAGAACTAAATATTCATGCCTAATAAAAAAAAAAATATTATATCGTCTGCACTAAAGGATGACCTTACTGATGATTTTCGGAACAAGAAATTTGCCATCATTATAAAGTAGCAAAGACTTCATCTAATCTGAGAAAATGCTTCAAGATTTTACATCTCAAAAGGTTTACGCTGTATCTCCCATTGGTTCCAGTGAGGGTGGCCGTGAAGAATTCAATCTAGAGCTTTTGATGTGAAGTGTGTACAATGTTTTATTTTATTTGGCATTTTTCTGGCATATTTGGGTAATATTTGGCATAAAATGAAGTTTGTTTTTTTGTTTCAACCCTGAGCGGCAGTGAAGCTGCTAAAAATTTATCAGCGAGATAATTATAATTTTTTGTAAAAACAAAAAGGCACATACAGGCGAAAATGTCAAGAAATTAATAGTCTCTTTCTTGTTACAAAACAACGACTACAGTTATTATATGTAAAGTATTGGAAACTTAAATGCTTGCTTTATGAAACCGTAGTAGGACATTAGCAAGAGGATTCTGCAAGCTGATAAGAATAGCAAATAAATAAATGTACTATACTTCTTGTTAGTCAGATATCATAGTTAATTCTTTATGGTGTGCGTCTGTATGTGTGTGAGATAGAAAGATAGACAGAGAGACAGGTAGGTAGTTAGGTAGGTAGGTAGGTAGGTAGGTAGAAATCTAGGTAGGTAAGTTGGTAGGTAGATAGGTATGTAGGTAAGTAAAAAAGATAGGTAGGTAGGTAGGTAGGTAGGTAGGTAGGTAGGTAGGTAGGTAGGTAGGTAGGTAGGTAGGTAGGTAGGTAGGTAGGTAGGTAGGTAGGTAGGTAGGTAGGTAGGTAGGTAGGTAGGTAGGTAGGTAGGTAGGTAGGTAGGTAGGTAGGTAGGTAGGTAGGTATGTATGTATGTAGGTAGAAAGATATGTAGGTAGTTAGAAAGATAGGTAGGTAGGTAGGTAGTCAGATAGATTAGACAGACAGACAGATTGAATGTTAGATAGGTATACAAACGGACGTACGAACGGTTTGATGTTTAGACGCATGCGTAGAAGTTATGTAGTTAGTCCAACGGACCGACAAACATACACACAGATACTTCTGTGGGCATATTGGGTGCTTCCATTTAGGAATTTTCTTAATTCAATAATCAACATTAAA